TAATTGGTGAAAGAGTAATGTACCAAGATTTATTATTAAGTTTACCAAGAATAAGGCTCACAAGTGATACGTTGGTCTTGATGGCCGAATATAGCCGCAAAATCATGTATGTTGGTTGAGAGTGTTATAAATGTTGGCACACACTGGGAACTGACGGTCATCAACTGATTTGATTTGATTCCTTGGAAAACGCCATGCGACAAATCATGCGTAGCTGATCAATTAGAATGACAATTCGCTTAGTCTGCCATAAGCAGACAGCAGTGCTCCCAGACAGGTGAGATGGGCTCATCAGGCTGGGGCAGGAGTAAGGGTGCAAATGGTTCGATCACACACCCACCTAAATTGTTGTTAACACTGCTTTTGTATATTATTTTTATCATATAAACATAGTACCTGTAAGATTTTTAAAGCGATATTTGTGCGCCAAGAGGTTCATATCTTCAAAATTGTTCTCGTATCAGCCCTATCCATGGTGGGCCTGACGTGGTGTGAACTCTCACGTACGCCCTACCGCCAAATCCTACATCCGCCCCAATGGTGACAGTCCTAGGATCGATCATAGTACGACCCAGTGTGTGCCCGGCTTAAAGAGTACCAACACCGACTTGGCCTATCCAAATGCTCACACACCACAGTGTTATAAGGCAAGTACCGGTATTATAGGTATCAGAGTCTCCAAAAGGGGAATCCTAACCAGGGCAAATTGGTTGACATTAATAAGATAAATAAATCATTTTTACTCATTTCATAATGGTAAAAAGTCAATAAAATCTTTTGTGTTATTGCAAGATGCATACTCCTATTTCATTACAGGTACTGTAACCAGCTTCACAAGCAGTCTCAAGTAACCCACAAATCTTGATTTTTAATGACAGACAATGTGACAGAATGGATAGTACTGTAATCAATCAATTTTTGTATTTTTTCAGTAAAAGGTTTATTTCCTTATTGTTTTTTTTTTAAATCTCATTTGTCCTAAAACTGTGCAACATTTTACCTAAATGTGTTTCACATTAAAATTATGCCTCGTGCACACACCTTGATATTCTTAATTGATATGCAACCATTAGTTATTTAATCCAGTGGGAGGATCAAGGATGAAGGAGACACACAGACATATTTGAACTTCATGCTTGATTTCAATTATTCACTATAATGCAACTGCTGTGACTAGATCCAACGAAGCCTTAAATTATAGCTCCATGGCTCTTGTTTACATTCATTGCCCTTCGACCCTATAGTTGTGAAAGCAGTAATGGATTGGGATTAAGAGCCCAAATCACTCTTAGGATTAGTTGATTGTTTGATGACTTCAATGGAATTGCTCAAGTATGTTATTAGATAGGTGATTTACCTGTAACCACAGGTATGCACAAAGTAATATTTAAACCTTATTTTCTACATACAGGCTCTACAGTTTTGAATTTATTTAGGGACAAAAGTTTATGTAATCTCATATTTAATTTTTTGACGCAGTACCTAAAATATGAAGTCAGTAAAAAACGAACCCACACGGTAGCTTGTATGTTCCTTCTCCACTGTCACAATAAACGTCAGCATCAGTGGCGGATTCAAGTGGGGGAAGGGTGGGGTGGAGCTGAGCCTGCCCCTTCTCACCAATACATTTTTCAAAATTATAAAAAAGAAGTGGAGAAAAAAGAAATTTTGATCAAATTAACATCTGAAAGTGCCATTTCCACCAGAGGTGCCATAATCATAAATTTCCCCAACCATGGTAGGGCTGAGGTAGTCTAAACTTTCCATCTGTGAAAGTCCCTCCCTGCATCCCCCCTCTCCTCTATTTTGAATCTCATTAAATATCTCCAAAATGTTTCCGCATATTTTTGTTGGCAGCATGTTCTCCTCGAACTTTACAGATGTCAAAAAAGTTCTGTAATTTTAAATTTATGTTTAATATAAATAAAAGAGTTACAGAAAAGAATCCCAAAACTTCCCCTATATCCTTGAAGTTGTAAGTGTTATACATTATGATCCTGTTTCATTACGTGATGTCATAGCTTTTCAACAGGAGGTCATTGACCAGCAGTAGGCCTAATCATTGGTACAGTACTGTACATGTAAACCTTGACTTTTTTTTGGGTAAATTTTGATACTGTAGCTAATACAGCCAGCAGCCAACATTCAAGGAAGTTGTTTTCTTTTTTCCAAATACTTTAGGATCCCAATTAAATGCAGCACTGAAGTAAGTAATTAGCTACCAATTTCAATAAGTCACAAATCTAAAAAGTTGATCAATGATTCACAGATTTACTACAAACATTCCTTAAATTGGCTGGTGGAAATTCTAGGGTACTGTATCCTTATACTAAATGAATAGTATTCAAAAGGTATGGAAATTACCAAGGTAGTTATTTCCCACTCTTATTTTATAGTTGGAATCTAATAAATTTATCAAATTAAAACAATTAAATATTAAAAAAAAAATATTTACTGATTTAATTTAAGTGGCAGTATTTGTTTAATAACTGGCTTTTGTGAGTGGAAGAGGAGAGAGTTTAACATTTTGTCTTCCATTGTCTGTTGGGGAGGTCAACACAATTCCTCAAGAGTAAAAACATTCATGCACAAGTTTAAGAAAGTAAACTCTATTAAATCAGCTTTTTAAATTCCTAAATTGTCGGAACTTTTGGGGATATCCCAGGAACCAGTCTGGGTTAAAATGCTATTGAAAACAGGAATTAATCTTCACGGCCTCGTAAAGTTTGTTGAGCATCACTTACTTACATCCAGTGTGAAGTGCCTAGTTACTTACTGTTAAATGAAAATAAAATAATAAACAATATTAGTTACGTACCTTTTGATTGCAAACTATCCCTCTGTAGTTGGAAGTAATAAAATTGGAGGTGACAAATGAGTGCTCTTTCAGAATTTTATAGAATTGTTTATCCACTATACCCTTCTTCTTTTTTTTTTGTATAAGAACCAGTAAAATTTTGCCTAGGCTCAGTGTTCTTATTTTTTGGCCAATTTCAAACTCAAAATGTTTTTATTTTGTTCTTATTTTACACACTTTTCAAACATAGAAAATTATTATTGTAGAGCAGCATACACTGTACTGGGAGGTGAAAGCTGCCCTGCAAAAAATGGCCCCTGAAAGAAAGGCCCAGCAAAAAATGGCCCCACAAAAGAAGGCCCCTGTTAAAAACTGGCCCCAAATGGGAGGTAGGAACACCTACTGTACTGTATATGGAGAATATTACAAAGTCACACCTACAGTACTGAACATAAGGAACAGATATAATTTTTTTAGTTTTTCTAGTTTGACATTCTACCTCAGCCTCAACTTGTTCTTATTTTTGTTCTTAATTTTTAAGCAATTTCAGCCTCAGTGTTCTTATAAAATGTGTTCTTATAAAAAAAAAAATGTTATAGCCCTACATACTGTAGATGGGATCTACTGTGTCAGAACCTTTAGACATGGTGGTATTAAATACCTGCTTTAGCACAAGCATAAAATCTGATACCTAGTTTATTGATTCTGTAGAAAAAAAATAGTGATTCACATTCTCTATTTTCAATTAATCTGGGTGAAAATGGCTGTTTTTAAATACACTAATGACATGAATGAGAATCAATGTTAAGGAAACTGGACGTCTTGGTAGACCATTAGGAATGTATTTACAGAGTATTGATTGGATAGAATCAAAAATATTATCACGCATTACTTATGTCGATTTTGTTTATATTTTGATTTTATTATTAGAACTCATTAGGATAAGTCATTGTTGTTTTGTCCAATACAAGTCACTATCCTAATTTCCAGGGACCAATCAAAACATGAATGGCATTTAAGCTCTCTATGCAGTCCCATCCCTTACCCATTAACCTCAAGTTGACCCTATATTTCATGAACCCTACAAGTGCATTGGGAATACTGTACAACTTGTACAGGTATCTGAGGAGGCAGTTGGCAGAGGTCAAGCTAAACAATTTGATCTTGAGATTAGACCAAAAGATGTAGGCCTAGGCTGTTTGTAGTGATTCAATAATAAAGACTTTAATAATAATTATGAGAATAAAAATAGATAACAATAAAAACTGGTGATTATGATGACACCAATAAAAAATATGTACTCTATTTAATGATATATTGTATTGATGTTTAATGTATTTTATTATTTATTGAATTTTTACTACTTTTGTAGCACTAGAGTAAATTTTTATAACAGTTGCTCTGAATGCACATAAATGGTCATGATCCTACTTTCACTTGTTCAGGTCAAATTCTTTCTTCTTTAAAGTCATTGACCACCTAAAATGATATTAATGATCAGACTTTCAAAGTTCTGGAGTTGGGCTACTTACATTTGTATTGGTTTGTTCTGATGGCTATTTATTTATTTATTATTTAATTTTCTTAATACCATAGGCACTTCCAACTTGTGTACTGGTTTTTAAGTGGCAACGTTACCAACCATCAAAAGAGAAAGAAAATTTTGGAATGAATGTCATTAAAAATCCTGTCATTGTGGATGAAAAAAAATTAATGAAATATGCCACCCGAAAAATAATAAATGAAATTTTGTATTAAATTAATATTTACTAATTATTTGATTTGTTCATTATTACCCGGTACTTTTTTTTTCTGACATGAAAACATACGTAGCCAGTTAACATATTTTCCTGGTTAACATTAACAAATGGAATGCAGATGATGCTGTGCCTATAGACTGATCCATTTACAGTGATTAATATCCATCTTCAGATGTCATACTTGGGGACATCTGCTAATTACAAATATGTAAATATTGGAATGATAGGGCGTACAGTCTAGTATATTTTCATTGTAATCTGCTCTAAAATATCTTCACCACTGAACATGGACATGAAATGTACTCGAGACACTTTTTATAAAGTATAGAGGTACAGTAATAGAGGCTGTATATCTATAATTCTGTGAATAATATTGAACCAAAATCACATCACACTAGTTTTGAGATACTCATAATCAGAGATGAAACATTTATTCTCAACAGAGTCCGCGGTTGACAGCCAGTGAACAACCTGGACCAGTGGAGGCTCTTAAAAACATGCTCTTCACAATCCAGTCTGTTGCCATAGCAAATGATTTGACAGAGGATGATGATAAGGAGATGGTTCATGATGACACTATTGAGGATGAGGTTGCACCAAAGGTAAATTCATCACCATTTTAGACTTCAATTAACTAATGGTTTATGTATTTCTTGCAAATTCCTTTTAAAACATCATAACCCAAGCTGACAACCAAGGGGTGGGGATATGGTTCTGCTGAACCCCCTTTTAAACCAAGGGACCCTCGAACAAACCAATCCCCTTCAATCAAAATGATCTACAATTTACATTCTAGAGAAAATCCTTTAGATCCTGAAGTAAGTTTTTCTCCTGATCTCTTAGAGCTCTTCCTAGTTTGTACTCCTAAGATTCACCACCAGCCACACTAAATATTTCACTCCAATCCAGCATGATGCCTAAAGTCTTGTGGTGAGGGATCTTTATGGTGGTTGGCCCCAAGCTCTTGAATTGTCTGCCTGCTCATGTCTGTGAGTACCCATCACTATTCATCTTCTGACCCACCTCTTCAATACTCTACAACATCTAAATTGTTTTTTGTGTTTTCTTTTTTTCTCTCTCTCTCTTCCTCTATTTTTTTTCCCAAAGACCCTTTGGATTGGATTGGATTTATTCGGTGTAAACACTATGGATAGCCCACGAAAGTCTAGAAGAAGACTTATTTCCAGTGTGGTCCTTCTGGTGGTGATTGGGCAGTACACCGGGAGACAATCCCCTACTCTTTTCCGAAGAGTGTACTGCGCTCTTTAACGTGCACATGGGCCATAATGCACACGGTACCAACGGCTTAAACGTCTCATCCGAAAGATGGTGCGCTATTGTAACTTGTATTTCAGCCCTCTAGCTAAAACACAAGGAGAGGCAGCAATGGGAATTGAACCGGGGACCTAGAGATCTCCACGGTTCAGCGCACACACAGCGGCTACCACCAGATTAGCCGACTGAACTAAGCTGCTCCCTTTGCTATAGCGCATTGAGACTTTGTTTTATGTGCTCTATTAATGCCCGTAATACCAATACATGCAATTTGGGGGTTCACGCTGATGTTTATAAAATAACATTCTAAGGCTACGCGAAGCATTCATGTCTGTTAATGCGTGTTACCAGAGACGCCAGTAACGTTAAATCTTATAGACACCAATAACTATATTTCCTAGTGCAGGGAAGACAGGTAATTATATGAGAGGCTCTGAAATATTGGCCTTTTTTTCGGTATCCTCTTCTAGAAAACTGCAAGTATCAGATTTTTAAAAATGTCAACCCAAAATGTTGACTGAACACATTTCTGGATATTCCTGGCATCTCTTAGGCAGCTATGTTACTTTGTTTCAAATAATTTCAGTCTCTAAAATTTGTAGGGTTTTTTTGTGTGTGCATCTTGTAGTACCAAGTTTACATGTATCTAGTACAGTTCATCTTCCACCCCAGTTGGTCACTAGGTCAAAGTTTTATTTGGTAGTTGGTCATAAAGGAATACTTATTCCTCCATGGTATTGTAAATTATAAATGTTTAACTATAAAACAGAGGTCAAGTTGCAGTTGAACTTTCTGATGTTTTCTATTGATTTAGTGATTTAAGTGTCTTCTGAATAAAGATAAAAGCATGTTTCCACCACCTGCTTGTAAAAAACAAACTCATTTCCTTTTATTTATGTCACATGATCACAAGGGAGAGGTTTTTATAGGCCAGACATGATACTAAATTTTTTGAGGTGATTTATCTTGAATCAGACAATTATTACCTGGGTGCTTCCAGAGTAGAGATGAGATTACTAAAGTTTTGCTGTGATGGACTTGATAATTTGCAAGATAAACTTACAAACATAGACAGTTTTTTTTTTTATTTGCAGTTTTTAAAATTATTCTTACCCTGCACACGGTGGACCATTCCTTTTTGCCCTTGGATGTTGGTACATATTTTGTTCTTCTGAAAGGTCTATTTCTACCCCATGTGAATATTACCACCCTGAACAAATCTTACTAATTCTTACCCGTTTTTTCTGTAGATATGATTTTGATCATTTTTACTGTTACTGGTACTGGTATAGGCATTTATAATGATCCTCTTCTTTGAGGTTATAAAGTGCACTTCTTTTCCCTGGTCATTGGGTCCAGCTTTTAAGTGTTGGGCACTGTAATCAGCAGGCAGGGAACCTCACCACGTACCCATTTATTATACGCATGGGTGGATAGAAGCAAAGCAGATAAAGTGCCTTGTTCAAGGCCGCAAGCGAATGCACAGTGAGGGATTGAAACTCTGATCTCGAGGTTAGGAAATCAAACCGTTCCCGCTTTGCCAAACCTCTTCCACTTATAAACCACGGGTCTAACCCGGCCTATTATTTCATAGTAAATATAATAAAGTTCTATTGTTTTATTTTGCCTGATTCCACTTCCATTAATTTAATACTTTCTTTTCTCTTGCCAAGTAGATCCCTACCCTGGATGATTTCTCGCATGAAATCTGTCTGCAGTACATACAATTACATGATTGTTATATCACTGCTGTATTCTCTAGGTGAACCATGGGGCCTACCCGGCCTAGTATTTCATAGCAAATATAATGAAGTCCTGTTGTGACACTTCCAGCAAAAGAAGTACACAGCACTGGGAATAAGCATTGTCGACTATGTGGTATATTATGTCAGTGCCAGAGCTTCAGAACAGATTTTGCGAAAGGCACTGGTCCAGTGATGTATTTAGGGGGTGCGCAGGAGTGCATTGGTTTGATTCTTATGGCAATGTGTACTTTTCCATGTATTCCACTTAATTCATGTTTAAGTAATATTACATTATAATTATCTTTAAAAAGATATTTAGACTTGCCACAATTATTGAATTTTCGTAGTGTTAGATAATTTCAGAGAGAGCCACCAGCATCTGTTTTTGTTATGTTTGAATTTGGATTGGAAATAAGTAATATCGAACACCATTGGTGCCAAAATCGATTTGTCTTTATAACAGATGTATTGATTAAGACAAAATTTAAGGACTGGAACCCAGTCTAAACAGTGTTGTGTATTATTGGTATTACAAGATAGTTGTCTAAACTTAAAACAAATGGAGCGTACTTAATACATCAACTATTTATTTTTACCTGTATCATATTTTAATGAGGATGATGCCCCAGGCAAACCTGCCAATCATTTGCAACCCTTAACTTGGTGTATACCAAGTAAGCCTACATCAAAGGGGATCACTCTTATTAAATATTTCTACAGGGAGGTGCCGCATTTACAGGGTATATTTTCAAGGACTTGGCAGCAAAAGTGTGTGAGAAATATCGGGGAGTTGCGACATTTATGGGGTATATTTGCGAGGACTTGGTAGCTCAAGTGTGGAAAGTTACCAGGAAGAAATTAGTCAAAATCTCTGGCCCGTCCTGTGTCAAAGTGTCACAATTTTCTGCACGATTTTAGCTAGACTGGGTGTAAGCCCTGTGCTATAGGCCTACGTTTGGTACATGCCACAGCAGAGATGACGGAATAGACAGAAAACTGTACAAATATTGCGCCCTCTCTGGCATGATTGAGTGGCCTTTTTCCTGTTGTCTCTTTAGAGAATGTTTTGAAGTTGCTGCTGCACCCACAGGTTTGCTGGGTATGCAAGTGACCTCCTCCGGGGGCCTACATTTTACAAACTATAGGTTCAGAATTTAATTTTTCAGGCCCAGCAAATTTGTGAATAATTTAAACCTGCTTCCCCACTATTCCAAAACAAAAAACTTCAATCATCAATCAGATAGTTTGTAATATTAATTCTATAACTTTTGTCAACAAAAGCAGAAAAAAAAAACTGTCATTTTTTGAGTTGTAGAAAATGTTAACCTTTGTACAGGAACAGAAATTCTAGTTGTGATTTGATTCCATATATGATACTGTATACATTCTCCCCATCCATCATAGACCAGGTGTTTTCCCCCACAAGATATTAGGCCAATCATTTTAAATATTGTAATTTGTAGTTTTACTGCTACTATACTATACAAATCTGCAGTAATTTTTTTTTTTAAAGAACCTTTTCCAAATTTTTGCAAACCATATTATTAAAAAAAACCAGATGTCTGCAAGGGCAGAGGTTCTTATGCAGTTTTCCTTGACAAAATTATTGGTTTCTTCCTGGTAGATTGTACGTTGATTTATTTTGTAGCAAATAAATTTTATTATTCTTCACATTGGTAAAGTTTTGATTGATTGAAATTAATCACTAAGGCCTGGCACTTCCTGTGCCTGACAGTTGTGGACCGGACCAATTCTATTAAGAACACCACGTGATGATGCATGTGCAGCGGATAGCTTTCAATGACGATTTGTTATGGCTGCCACCGGCAATCAGCAGATAGCGTCGCGTCAACTAGCGCTTACAGGGAACGGAGTTGGATTCGCTGTGTGACATTCACACGACGCAGTGTGTGCCCGGCTTAAGGATTAAGTAACATACTGTATAAATAGAATGTATTCTAACAAAAAGTAATTAATAAAAAATACATAAATGTACCTCTTGTAATAGCTAAAATAATTTACACTTTTTTTTTGTAAGAACACATTTTATATTATTAAGCACTGAAGCTTAAATTGCTTAAAAATTAAGAACAAAAATAAGAACAAATTGATCCTGAGGTACAATGTCAAATGAGGTTTTTTGTTTTTTGTTTTTTTTTTAAATAGAAAAACTAAAAAAGTGTATATACCTTATGTGTAGTTGGTGTGACTATGAGCCCAATCACACTTAAAATTTACGTCGGCCCGTTGTCGGCATTTTTGAAGTGTGAACAATCAATAAATGTTAAGCCGGCCCTGAGCCGACCTAACTTTAGTCCGACTTTTGAGTCGGCTCAAGTCCCGCAATGCAGGACCCAACTTTATATCTGAACGTAAGCCGAACGTGAGCCGGCCCAAGTTCGCTGTGATTGCGGTTGATTTTGACATCGTACCTACCACAACATTCATTCGAACTGACTTGTGCGAAAAAACACCAACTAATTATTATTCACAGCCTCCGTGCGAAGGGAGCATCACGAACCAAGTTGTAAACGTGGGGAAATACCACATGATACAAAGCTTGCGTATGGGCACTTTGGCAT